GGAAGGGAAGGGAAGGGAAGAAAACTGCCTGAATAAATATGAAATAACAGGTAAGGGCAGATGAGAAAAAAGAGTCAGAGGTAGTTTGAGAGAAAGATGGAAATGAAGCACAGGCAGATCACAAAAAGTCTCTTACGAACAGTAAGCTGTCAGAGCACTAATTAGAAGTATAGACTTGGCTACGAAAGAAAACAGGGAGTCTCTGTCTCTGGGCAGGTCAGCTTTGATGTGAAGCATTTCTTCATCACAGATCTTACTTCCTCTTCTTTTATTTTAGGTCTCACAGAAAAAGGGAAGGAAACCATGATTTGAAAGATAGGAGTCGTCCGATCTGGATTCGGTTTTGTTGAAATACCTTAATCCAGTCATTCCCCTTTCCTGGACACTGATTGGCTAGTAAAATGGGAGGAAAGGTCTCTTAGTATTTTATGCATCTATTCTTTACAACTAAAAATTATTCTGGTGTCACTGAGATTTCCCAAGTAGTTCTGGGATCTGTTTTTTAAAGGATAAAGAACAGATCATTGCTTTGCAAAAAAAAAAAAAAAAAAAAATGAAGTAACAAGAGCATTCTGGATTAGGATTAGAAACAGCTGGCAGAAAGCCTCTAATTCTTTGGAGAAAAGACTCTTCCACAGTCCCATTTTCAGGCCCTTATTCATCATACTACAACACAATTAGGCAAGCTGCTCAGTTGTTCCAAATATCTATCTCTCTTTGCAAAGTATTATTCAAGCCTGTCAAAGCAGTGTTGAAACATGCAGCACTGTCCTCTGTGAATGCCATTATGGACAGAGGCTTGGCATTACATTAATTACATTAGCTGGCTCAGGACAACATAATCTCACCTGATTAACAATCTTCCTTATACTCTTTCTTCTGTATTCCTGTCCTCTGCCTGAATCTTTTTGTCCTTTTTTATTCACTCATTCATCCTTGCAATAAATATTTACTGAGCCCCTCCTATGTGCCAGACACTATATTACTTAGTATTTGATACTAATACGTGATATTTATCAGTAACAAAAACAGGTAAAGTCTCTTCCCCATAGATTTTCCTGACCTTCTTTCTGCATGCCTTTTCTCTTAGTTGGAACAAAATAAAAAATAGTTGAAACATCCTTTAGCTATAATTAGGGTACTTGTGTTCTTGTCCCAGCTGTGCTACAAGTCTTAGGGGTAAGTTTATCAACCTCTCTGTATATAATTTTCCTCTTCTGTGCATGAAAGTGTTGAGCAAGACTATCTTAAAGAATTTCTCACATGGACTTTTTCGGTAGTTCCTAACTAGTCTTCTTGCTTTCATTTTGCTCCTGCTGTTCCTGAAATTTTATTCTAAACATAGTAGCCAAACTAATCTTGCTAAAATGTTAAGTCAGCTCTTATTATTATTCTCCTAAAGACCTTCCAATGGCTTCCTGTCTCACTCAAAACCCAAAATTCTTACAATGTCTTGGAGGTAGTACCTGGTCTAGTCCCCAGTTACCTCTCAAATCTCTTCTTCTATCACTATTCCCTGCACTCATACTAGTCTCCATGCTGTTTCTTGTACACTCCAAACATACTCCCTTCTTGGGCCTTTTGCCTTTCCTTTTCCCACTGCCTAGAAAGCTTTCCTTCCCTCCCCAAGGCTCACATGACTCATTCCCTCACTTCCTTCTATTAAATAAATGCCTTTTCAGGAGCCATTCTCTGAACTGATCACCTTACGTAAAACAGCACCTCCACACCACTCTCTGCCCTACTCTTTTTTAAATTCTTATCACTGCCTAACTCATCATATATTTCCGTGTTTATCTTCTGTCTCCCTCCAATAGAAGATGCATACCATTAGGATAGGGCTCTTGGTTTGTTTTGTTCCCTGCTGTATCCCCAGCTCAAAGAATAGTACCAGATACACAGTAAATGCTCAATAAATGTTTGTTGAATGAATAAAAGAATGAATCTTTTCTAGTAATAAAATAAGTCTCACTGTGTGTCAGAATTTATTCATACTTTAATAGGATTCAGATCTGGCTTCTAGAACCTATAAGAGACCAGTCAAGTATTAGAACTACACTGGAGTCAGACTACACGGAAAAGTTACCAATAGAAATGAACCACTCACTGAAGCCAATCCATTCCATTCCTTGAAGATTTTTGTTTCATAACAGGGTGAGTTAAAATAAGATTAGACTTAAATATTTATTCTATGCAGTTATTTGCAGTGAGAAAAGTGGAATTACTACCCTCATTTCACTTAGACCTAGAGAAGTTTAGTCATTTATCCAACATATCCAGTCTTTTTGAGGCAGAGATAATATAAGGACATAAATCCCTGACCACTAAGCCCACAGTTATTTTCAATAGTGATCTACACAAGAACAGAAAGATCCATACCAGCATAAATATATCATGCATAGTGTAAAAAGTGTAGATTCACTAATAGGGACTCTTCCCACTGAACTTCTGAAGAAAATCCATGTTCCAGAAGTTTATCTTATATACTGTTTATTCTATATGCTCTCAGTATATACTGTACTGTTTATCTTATATATCATCATATCCCCAATACTTGGCACATGCTCATTTCATGTGTGCTGATTACATGAAAGATCAGCCTTAAACAGAAGTCTATTAACAAACGTAAGACTTATAAAGAGACTTAGACTCCCACACAATAATAGTGGGAGACTTCAACATCAATATTAGACAGATCAACGAGACAGAAAATTAACAAGGATATCCAGGACTTGAACTCAGATCCGGAACAAGCAAACTTAATATATATTTATAGAACTCTCCACTTTAAATACACAAAATATACACTCTTATTAGCACCACATCACACCTACTTACAGGTTTAAATGAAATATTCATTGGCTGCTTGTTTGTTATTTTCTTCCCTCGTTTTTTTCCTGTCTCCATTATTAAACACAATTATTGGTATAAAAGAGGTTTCAATACCCATTTTAAGACTGCATTCTAGCCTGGGCAATAAAGCAACACTTCCGCTTTCTCTCCCTCTTCCTCCTCCTCTTTCGTCCTCTCCTTCATTCTTTTTTATTATTATTTTATTTTTATTTTTATTTTTCATTTTCTCTCTCTCTTTCTTTCTTTTAAAAAAAAAATATATATATATATATATAGTTCTTCAGTTTGTCCATAATCTGTCTACCTATCTTCAGGTACTCTATTAAAAAAAAAAAAAAAGTAATCTCATAAAAAAAAAAAAACAGGTGCCCCTTCACCACCCCATTTAATAATTGCTCTCACCTCTTGCACAGGTCACTCACACAAACAGCAACACACACACAGCACCCCTTGAAGGAAAAGAAAAACAAATTTCCACATACCGCATCACACCTGGCTATGCAGGTATTTCCTAGTCAGATGAGGGACCAGGACAAAATTGCCAGCTTACAGTTTGTTTCAGTACTTCTAGGAGCACCACAGTGACACGCATAGATACATACACATTCATGTGTATGTGGAGAAAGACCCATTTACAATATCAAATGTACAGATACACATATGCACATCAAAATCACTTCAGAACTAGGCAGAATACAAATCATAAATAAACTTATATACACAGTAACTTACATGCCGGTTTTGCCCAAGCATACTCACAAATGTACACAAACACATATACAAAGATAATATTTACCTCAAGGTTTGACTGTGAAAAGTAAATAAGATTATGTGAATTCACAATAGTGCCTGACACATAGAAACCATGCTAATAAAGGTTACCTCCTGATTACATATATAAAAATACATATATTATATATATTTAAATTCCTATCCGACTCATATTAATATGCACCTTCAAAACAAAATTTCCTTTTCAGTCACTATGCAGAATATCATGGAAATTCTAGATTGTGGGAGACAATAAAAGAACCAGTAGTGTGGGGTGTGCTATTGTAGTGCAGGGGGAGGGGAGAGGAAATCCTGCTGGTAGGAGGCTGGTAAACAAGACTTTCCAGATTTCTTTGCTTGGGAAAAGACCTAAACTTGGAGGGAGTTGAGCTGATGAGTATTCTTGAGAGAACCAGCCTCCAAACACCCCAAAGGAGTTTCTGACATTATTGGGTAAGAAGGAGGGGTTGTCCTCTCTCATTAGCCTTGGGAGGGAGAGTCCCCAGAGTCTCAGTGAGTTCAAATCAACCAGAAAATCCTTTAGAGTATTTATCCTATAGCTTGGAGAAAATCTGATTAACTCCACCTCCCCAGATGGGCTTTAGAGTGAAATGTATAGCTGGTTTCTAAGATTCAAATAAGGTGGGAAAACAGAGGAAGGAAAAACATGGAATATGAGTCAAAGCACAATCCCTGTGTGTAAACTTGGCTCTGCCATCAATTTGGAGCAAGCCACAGCTTTGTGAGGCTCAGTTTCCCCAGCACATAAAAGGTGAATAAAACTGTCTCCTGTCCAGCTGGAAGAAGGTGTTTTTCTTCTCTCCCAAAAGGATGCCAGCCACAGCACTTCCCACTCAACCCTGGAAACTGCTCAAAGAATTTCTCCCGTACTTCCCTGCTGCGGTGACACTGGAGGGGGTCTTTATCCATCAGACTTCTTTTTGGATATTTCTTCTTTCTTTCTGGGGCCAAATATTATAACTTCAGAGCTTAAAAAAAAATCAGGCATCTGGTTCAACTCTTCCCTTTTAAAATGGTCAATTGAGCCCAGAGCATGTCTGAACTAGGAACTATCTGTTTTACTCATATACAACTGCATTCTTTAAAAATCAAGGCAACCCTTTGAGAGATCTCGAGAGATTAATTCCATAAGCCTTCTCACCCCACCGCTTACACAGAAAGAAGCCTAGGGGTGGGAAGGGGATTGCGCAGATCTCGTCCAGTACTCTAAGCGTTAAATTCAACCCAGAGTCTAAAAGGCTATTGGCCTAATATCTGGAGAAGATCTGGTTTTCGTAGCCGCGGGCCAATGAACACCTCGAGTGGGAGGGTTTGAAGATACTAAGGAGTTTTCCCCCCCTTTTTTTTTCCTCTCAGCCCCCTCCCACCGGCTATCACCCCTCCCATCCCCCACGCCTCCAGTTTGTTAAATTAATGCAGTAAGAAAGTCTGAAGATCTGAAGGAGTCTTGACCAAGGGAAGATGAGCGAGCTCAGAAAACCGAGATGCATCTGAGGCGTTGGGCTCCTGAGCCCCGCGGGGTACCCATGGATCCCGGTAGCCCCTGAAACTTGCCCTGGGCTCTCTGACGCCTGCGGCCCCGAGCAATGGGACATCTTTTCTGCAGTGATCATAACTTATTCGGCGGGGACCAGGAAACAGGAATCTCAAGGCGACAGCAGACCAGCACCGAGGCAGGGGAACGAGATTCCGAGACTGGATTGCGATGCGCCAGCCTGGCACACTCTCCAAGATTTAACTGAAGGCAGCACCGTCAACCGCTTTCCCCTCGCCCCTAACAGCCTCAAGCCGGCCCAGAGCCATAAGCTCTGTTCTCTTTACCCAAGATGCTCGCCCAATCCAACGGTCCGAGACCAGCGCTCTGATCTCCACAGAAGATTTTTTTTCCTTGCATGGAGCTGGCCGTTTAAACAGAAAAACAGGGGTAAAAAAAAGGAAATATACCCACCCCCAAACGTGCCTCCCCAGCGCCGCAGGGAGCCAACAGACACGCTGGAGTTTAACAAACAGCAATACTCTTCGCGCTCCTGAAAAGCAGGGCTGGACGCTCTCCGTGGTGCTGAAACGCTTCGCAGCCGCCGCTGTCCGTGGTATCTACAGCCCCTCGCTCCAATTTCCCCTGGGGCTCTCCCTCCGCCCCCCTATTCCCCGCCTCCCCTTAACATCTGGATTATTTTCTTTCAATAGCGCTTTCTGGTTTTGTAAGTGCCAATTTGAAACATTTTTGCCCCCATAACTCGTGGACTACAAAGCACAAGGACCTGAAAAATGTACAGCTTCAATACTCTTCGACTCTACCTTTGGGAGACCATTGTATTCTTCAGGTATGCAATTTTCTACTGACCACATCGCTCTGATGGAAATGGGGGGAAGGAGTACGGAGGCCGCCTCTGTCCGTGGTCCCAACATTTTGGGGAAGAGGGGTGCTGTATTCTGCTGCAATCGGGTCCTTCCATCCCCCGTCTTCTTTCTCCCCCCTCCCGCCCCCCGCCACCCCCCACCCTCCACCCCGCAGGGTGTCTGGCTTGTGCGTGAAGGTCTGAGACAGTCGCTGTTCTGGCAGCTGTTTGCCTGTTTCTTGCGGTTTGTTTGTCCTTCTGCCTGCTACACCCCCCACCATTAGTCCCCAGCCCCACTGCATGTTGGCTTTCACTCGGCTGAGGACTTTAAGGGGAAGCTTTAGGAGTTACTCAGTTTAATTAGGACTGCATTCTCCCTAACCGCAGTGCCGAAAACCTCAGCTTTCCCGTCTGGGAGCCAAGTGACAACTAGCGGTGACGGGGAAGGTTGCACTCAAACTCGCTGGACACAGAGCATTTCATTTTCTCTCCTTTTTTGCTGTTGTTTTCTTTTTCTGTTAGGAGGGTGGGGGAGTTACTAAGGCTTAGTACTTGTAAACAATAGTGTTATAACCTCAGTTTGTAAAGGCTTGAACTTGGGTACAGAGTGGATCTATTTAGGAACATACTGGGAAACATTTCCCTTTTGAAACTTTGACTGCCTCCTTTCCCCCATCCACCTTTCCAAACTCTGTTAGCTGCAGATCCTGAACTGATGAACAATTCTTGTTTGTTTTGTTTTTTAATTTATACTTATACCTGACTCAACAGCTGAATTTTCCCATTCACTTCTCTCAGGTTAAAATTTTCTGCCTGAAAGCTTGGCATTCTTATGTTAGTAGAAGTGAAAAGTGAAAAATCACCTCTTCAAGAAGAATTGAAATGGATAGCCCTTTTGTAAGTGGGTGAATCATACCATCTTCAGAGATGGTTATGATAAATTCCACTTGTATGAATTGAAAAAAATTATTATTCTTCCATGACATGCAGGGATCATTAATCTTCCTCATTTTAGATGCCTGTCTCTCATATTTTACTGTGGCATTGGGTTAACAGTCATTTGAAAACCCCACTCCAAATTGTTTTTTTAAACAAGTGATCACCAAATATTATCCTCTCCCAACATAAAACAGCAAATAATTTTTGTTTTATTACACTTCATAGGAATTGCTGGTTTGACTAATCTGTTGGTTGGTTTATTAAATGAATGACACCTCCTTTCAAATTGTAAGTTTCTATAGTTCAGCCTCTTTTCATGCCTTTCTCTTGAAATGAAGAAAAGGCATGCCCACTTCTTTGAGATGCCCAATGCTAAACCTTCTAATCTCCAGTTCAAATAATTATTTCGTAGGCCACAGAGTCCTGACCACAGATCAGAATGCAAATAGTCAAGAGAGTCAGATAGAAGGAAAAAGCACAACAACCCAGGACCTTGTGAAATGTATCAAAACATGGCTACGTTATGGGGGAAAGGTCAGGAAGTATTATATTAATAATATCAGATTCTTTCTCCCCTGAATATTTAATAGAACTACAAAATGTATGGAGGTTGGGCACTTTGTAACATTTGTATGCAAATTGATTCTGTGTTTGGTTTACAGGAGACAGAACTGAACCAGAGAGATTAAAGAGAAAATTAATAGGACCAAGCGCATCTTTCTCCCCCCACACACTCTTTTTTTCTTGATGAACAGTATGCAATGCTTGATTTGCCTCTCCCAGACACTGTCACAAAAGGGAGACTCAATCTAAAAGGTCTGCATTGTAGTCATTTTGATAAGGTTATGAATCCACTGTGTTAATTCTTCAACTAAGCTGGTGGTGGCCTATCAGGAAACATTATTCTACATCTCTTTCCCTATGTGTGTGAACACACACATGAGCTAAAATGGATGTGAGATACAATTCCATGTGTTTATAGGGAAAGAAGAGTTATAACTATGGAGAGCTGGAAAGGTGGTGGTACCACTGCACTTTCAAAATATAGGAATGGCTTCTTCATTAGGAGAGTAAATGTTCATTTTTAAAACACAATGCAAATAATGATTGAACTCAGGAAATTCAACAATTTTTCAGTAAGATTAAAAAAGATCACAAGGAAGTAAAGTGAGTAGATTATATTTGTTCAATTGGTATTTTCATTTCTAACTCACTCACTTTTAAAATTCTAGGTGAAAATACAGAAGCAGTAGAATGTGGGGACTTATTAGAATGTATGTGGGGGTAAATGGAGGCTGGCAGCTCTCTAGCAGGTTCCATGTGAATAACCCCTTCTTCCCCAAGGGACAGGCACTATGTTGGAATGGCCAATTCAATTATCTCAGGCACCCAGATACTCTTTAGAATAAATGATGGCAGCTGCTCACCTTGTTGGGGAAATGGGGGACTAGGAAAGGCTCTCAATAACATATGTGGGCTGCATCAGCACATAACCAGTGAAATGGCAATAACAACAGCAAAACAAACAAACAAAAACAACAATCAAGTGAATGAGACAGAAATCCCATATAGTACCAAAGCAGAGGAGAAACTGAGGCCTCAGAAAAGGAGATACGGGGTCCTGGAAGACAAAAAGTATTGCGTGCTCATCAACTGTGTCTTCATAAGATCGAGTGATTTGGCTGAAGTTCCTGAGCCAATATTTTAAAAACCTAGGCTTCTAAAATTCTGTAAGTGGCATTCTGAGAGTCAATAACCTAACTGTTTTCCTTTATTTTCAGTTGAGAATGGGGCCTTATATCCAGACTGGTCAAAAATAGTAGGCAGTTTTGTTTTTAATGGTAGAAGCATGTTTCTTTTAAATGTCCTTTCAAGCCAAAGGCAACGTGGCTTTGATCCCCAGAGCCCTAACAGAGGCTTATGGCTGAGACTGGCCCAATGTAACTCCAAAATTATCTTGCCTTCTGGGCAACTCAAACAGACCCATGTTTCTTAAGCTCTGCGCTATTGACACTTTGAACTGGGTAATTCTTTGTTATGAAAGTGGTTCTGGGCATTGCGGGATGTTTAGCAGCATCCCTGGTGCTATTAGCACTCCCTTCCTGAGTCATGACCATCAAAAAATGTCTCCAGACATTGCCAAATATACTTCCTTGGCAGAGGGGAGACAAAATTGTCCAAGGTTTCAAAGCACAATACAGAGTGACCAAATTTTTAGTCAGCTGCTCCAATGTGCTAATTATAATGAAGAAGAAAGTCTAGCTTCCTTGAGAAAATGCCCCTCATGGAATACGCAAAGTACCCTGATGAAGTAAAAGGGGACATAACATATGCTTGACAAGGGAATAAAAGCAGGGAGGTAAACCAGATCTAATCCCTTGGTGGCTTTCCCAAAAGATGATCAGCTTTTCTTTAACGTGCTACCTCCATCTTCCATCCCAGTAGATGCTTCCTTGCACTGGGTTTTGTGCTGAATATGCCACTCAACTGCTAATAAAGGTCATCAAAACTTTGAAGGGAAGATGTTTCTATCCACATTAGGATCAAAAAGAAAATGACAAATACATTGTTTCATATCTCAGTCCAAAAAGAAAAAACACCTACCCAGTTGAACGGTAAATGGTCTTTTCCTTGATGCAGCTCCTGTGGCTTCTCCATCTCCAAGCTTGTCAAGAAGGGCAGATGACTGTCTTGATCTTTTCCTTCTGGAAGGAGAGTTGTACTCTACCTTGAATCTTACCTGCTGCATTTTGGCATGCAGAATGTGTCTAGGGGTTTCTGAAATGGGTCAAGGACTTTTCCCCAAGGGATGAAGCCCCTTGGGCAAGTTTGCATTAGCATCAAATTGTCAATTGGTCTACTACCATTTTGGTCTTAGAAACCTTAAGAAAGAGAAAAGAAAATGTCATGTTTTTGCTCCTGAAGGACAGGTTGGACAGGGAACCTAGGCTGGTAAATGGACTTATGAATCAGCACATGACTCCTGCATATTTGCCAAATTCATAATGACCTAAGCAAAGGATATTTAGGAAATTGTTTTCTTTAGATTGCCTTAAGAAAGAGGTTATGGCCATGTGGTGCAGTGGAAAGAGAAGCTGGGCTATGATTTGAGAACTCCTGCCTCTAGAGTCCACTCTGCTTCTATCCCATAGCATGACCATAACAACTCTCCTCCTCTACTGGGGACTCAATTTTCTTACCAATCAACTCAAATGACTGAATCGGACGCTTCTACGTTGTCTCCAGCCCCTGATGAGATCTTTGTCAAAGGCAGGGGCCCATACCACAAAGGTTCAGGATGAATTGGCTTCAGTGGTGACACTGCACTGAACTTGTTTATCATGTGCTTATGTGTCCAGTCCAAAACTAAGCACTCTGCAGGGACAGATGCCACAGTCCCCATCCTTGCAGAAAGGATGGACACCGCTCCTTTTAGAGGTACATTAAAATATTTTTTTCCTTCTTCAGAGGACCTACGGAGCTCCCTTTCAGGCAGCCTATGTGTGCATCCTGCAACAACATCACATTTATGTGGGCGTCATTAACTTTATTTCCTTCATCAGCTGGCAGAAGCCAGCATGATTTTTAAGATGGATGGCACTGTCTCCCTGCCTGGCCATCTTGACACTATTCTGCAGGTTTGCTTTAAACAAAGAGGCTTTGGCCTAAAGGGCAGGAGCCCTGGGATCTGGAATTTAGCTAGCGGCATGACCTTGAGAGGGCTCTATGACCTTTCTAGCCCTCAGTTTCCTCAGCTGTAAAATAAAGAGATTTGGCCAATCATGTTCTAAAATCCCTTTGAGCCGTGCCAGTTTTGGATATATTCTCCCGATCTCTTCCCTAATAGCACAGCTTTGGTTACAGCTACTGCAGTATAGCCACATCGAGGTATAGTCATATGGAGGTATAGTCAGGCTCAAAGGTCTGAAAGAATTGAGGACCTTACTAAGCAATTCACTTTTTGAAGAGTTATCCTGACCTGGACACAATTATTGACAGATCCTATAAATACATCAGTTTCTCCAGGAAATGTTTATTATGATGAG